GTGTCCTCTGCAAACTTACTGAGGGTGCACTCGATCCCCTCGTCCAGATCATCGATAAAGATATGAAACAGAACTGGCCCCAATACTGAGCCCTGGGGAACACCACTTGTGACCGGCTGCCAACTGGATTTGACTCCATTCACCACCACTCTTTGGGCCCTGCCATCCAGTCAGCTTTTTTACCCAGCGAACAGTACGCCCATCTAAGCCATGAGCAGACAGTTTCTCCAGGAGAATGCTGTGGGAAAACGTGTCAAAGGCTTTACTAAAGTCCAGGTAAATGACATCCACAGCCTTTCCCTCATCCACTAAGCAGGTCACCTTGTCATAGAAGGAGATCTGGTGAGTCAAGCAAGCCCTGCTTTTCATAAACTCATGCTGACTAGGCCTGATCACCTATTTGTCCCGTACGTGCCATGTGATGGCACTCAGGATGATCTGCTCCATAACCTTCCCCAGCACTAAAGTCAGGCTGACAGGCCTGTAGTTCCCCAGATCCTCCTTCCGGCCCTTCTTGTAGATGGGAGTCACATTTGTTAACTTCCAGTCAACTAGGACCTCCCCAGATAGACAGGGCTGCTGATAAATGATGGAAAGTGCCTTGGTGAGCACTTCTGCCACCAGCTCCCTCAGTACCCTTGGGTGGATCCCATCCGGTTCCATAAACTTGTGCATGTCTAAGTGGTGTAGCAGGTCGCTAACCATTTCCCCTTGGATTATGGGGGCTTCATTCTGCTCCCCGTCCCTGTCTTCCAGCTCAGGGGGCTGGGTATCCAGCAAACAATTGGTCTGACTATTAAAGACTGAGGCAAAGAAGGCATTAAGTACCTCAGCCTTTTCCTCATCCTTTTGTCACTGTTTTGTGATCGCTATGCCCAAGACGGCCTCCAACCATCACATCACCCACCAGGCCTTCTCTGTTCACAAACAACAGGTCCAATGGGGTGCCTTCCCTAGTTGGCTCCCTCACCAGCTGTGTCAGGAAGTTATCTTCCACACACTCCAGGAACCTCCTAGACTGTTTCCTCTCCGCTGTATTGTATTTCCAGCAGGCATCTGGTAAGTTGAAGTCCCCCACGAGAACAAGGCGTAGCGATTGTGAGACTTCCCCCAGCTGCTTATAGAATACTTCGTCTGCCTCTTCATCCTGGTTGGGTGGTCTATAACAGACTCCCACCATGATATCTGCCTTGTTGGCCTTCCCCCTGTTTCTTACCCATAAACACTCAACCCTATCATCACCACTGTTAAATTCTAGACAATGAAAACACTCCCTAACACACAGGGCTACCCCACCGCCTCTCCTTCCTTGCCTGTCCCTTCTGAAGAGTTTATAGCTGTCCATTGCAGCACTCCAGTTGTGCAAGTCATCCCACCATGTTTCTGTGATGGCAATTATATCATAGTTTTCCTGCTGCACAACGGCTTCCAGCTCCTCCTGTTTGTTGCCCATGCTGTGTGCATTGGCGTAGATGCACTTCAGTTGGGCTATTGCTCCTGCCACCTTGTTGGAAAATTGCTTCCATGTATGTGATTAAGCCTGAACAGTTAAAAAGGCTTATCCTGCTACAAACAATCAGGTATGGTAGGTCAGAACCATCCCAGTGTCATTGCTGACACTTTCATTACTTCGGTCTGCCATGGACATAATTCTCCAGGCAACCATCTGATAAGTCATAACAGCCTTGACTGTTTCATGACCAGCTGCTGACTAGCCCACATATGGCCCTAGCAAGGCAGGCCAAAATCTCATAGGCTTGACTCTAACTTCCAGTTTTTATCAGTGTGAAAGATGGTGGCAAGGCAGGCTGTGGCTCTGCTACTCTTCTTGTGCCAGCCAAAAGCCAGCTGGAGTGTGAGGGGCTGGAGAAATGGTCCTTCTTGGTTTTCTCACTGTGCAAAACAAACAGCAGCCCAAATTTAAGTTTCATATCTATGCATCATACTGCAAGCTACTCCATCAGCTTGGATGAAGCCATGCTACTTTACACTTTCATTCATCCCTTTGGGCACTTGTCTACCTCTTTCTCTCTTCATCCAGACTTTTGTCTTTTACTAACACCTTTCTCCACTTTCCTTTCCTGCCTTATTCCCTCTCTCACATCCATTATTGTACCCTTTTTATTGCTCACACTGTCCCTTTTCCTTCCTCTCTTCTCCCTGGTCCCCACTCAGCCTCCCTCAGCCTCTGGATAAGAGAAGACAAAGTGACAAAGAGAGAGGGAGATGTGGAAAAGTGACAAAGAGAAAGGGAGATGTGGGAAAAGGAATGAATGTTGATGATGGAGAGTCAGAGAGAAAGGAAACATGAGAAATGGAGTGTATCACTTGAATGAGGGGCTTTGAGAGGCACTCAAGCATCCCTCCCAATCCCATCCCCCAGAGTTTCCTCTGGTGAACCCCTGGTTTCTCCAAGTCACAGGTCAGGCAGGACAAAATCTTGGCCTTGTTCTAAACTCCTGCTTCATTAGGTGGAAGCTTTGCTCAAGTGGTCATGTGTCAGAATCAAGGACTAAACCCAGAGGTACATGAGCAGGTGAGATGATATTAGAGTCAATACTGTACCACATGCTTGTGCCAGGTTTCAGTTGTCCCCAGGAAGCCCTTAGGATTAGCTAGCTTCGAACCTTTTTTGTTGCATTTACTTTTTCTGCAGCAGGGAGTAATCTTTTTCTGTCAAGGCCTTTGCAAACATTTACTATTAAGCATGAACATTCATTCTGAAGTATAATGATGAACATGGTAAATAAATTCAGTCTTGTTGAAATACAGAACTGAGACATGCCCCAGGCCCAAAAGTATTGCTCATACAAAATCAAGAAACCCTGGCCTTTGGTGCTCACTGATGTCCTCTCAAATACAAATATAGTCAGAGATTACTACTCTGTATATTTATCCAAGTTATGAAATGAAGTCATGCTTGTTTTACATTGAAGAAATAGCTTGAAGTGCCAAATTTATAGAATAACAAAACCTAAGAATCTGGTTTGTATGTTTACTAAATACTAGGTGTGCTTTTTATAGAAGGGACAAAGAACAAAGGAAACTGCTACTTCTTAGCTATTAAAAGGGGAGTGAGAGAGTGGCTGGGTGGGTGTCTGGCAGCCAGCCAAGGTCAACCCACCACAAAAGGCGATCACTTTTCAGGCATTGCAGAAACACTGGTGCCAAGGGGACACTGTTCTTTTATAGACACAGCAGCCCGATTAAGGTGGCTAAGGAATAGGCCTTCATTTTATCTATAAGGAGTTCACTGGTAACAAGTAATGTGGGAGGCAGGTACAGAGAATGTGTTTAAAGATTCTGAGTAGCTTATGTTACAGGATACAGCTCTAGCATTTATAAACTAACAGCTTGGCCATGGATTGCCTCCCCCATGCTACAAAAACCTAATAGCTGCCACTCTTACTCCAGTTCCACCCATGAAGTTAACACACATGGTATTGAACAGCAAATGCTGTAAACTGCATGACTTGCCACATAGTACGAAGCCAGCATTAACAACAATAATCAGTGTACACGGTTCTGTCTATCCCAGAGATCCTAGAAGCCCTTTGCAAACTTCACAGATCATTTTATGACAACTGAGCTCAGGGAAAATGGCCAGGGCCAGAATATGAACAACCGCCATGGGCTATCCTTACCCACCACTGAGTTACAACCCTCACCAGAGTGACACAAAACAAATGTTCAGCCATAAACAGTAAGACTAAAGAACTGGCTTAAAGCAGGAAATGCTTGCTGTCAGCAAGTAAAATAACTGTTCCATCCAGTGCTGCTGACCATTATATCTATTTAAGTAAACTGAAACATTATACGATAACCAAAAGTTACAATTTCCATTTGTCTTACAAATGTATAAGAATATATGAGAGTTGGGTCAAATTTGATTACCTTCTCTTCCTTTTTATCTGCTGCTTCTTCACTACAGCCCAGCAAACATGCCAAATTTCTGCCCAGAGTAAAAAACTGTTGTATGATTTATTATTAGAAAATAAAGCCAACATATATAAACAACAGGACATGCCAATCTTATTCTGATTAACTCTCTCCAAATTTACCAAAACTAATGCCAAAACTGAGTAATTACCATGGGTATTTACTCAGAACCAGCTTCTCCATATGCCAGCCCCTAAATCATCTCACAGAGACTGTCCAGTGTAAAAGTAGAATCAGTCACATGAATGCAGTAAGATGACTGAACAAGACCGCAGTTATTACTGATTATAGCAGTTCACTTACCCTATAGTAGTCTGTGCTGTACACATCTCTAGACATCCCAAAATCCCCAATCTTCACCAGCAGGTTCGCACCAACCAGGCAATTCCGGGTAGCAAGATCCCGATGCACGAAGTGCTGTGATGCCAAGTAAACCATACCAGCTGCAATCTGCTGGGCAATGTGAAGCATCTGGGATTGAGTCAGTTGGTCAGCTCAGCAGGACGGTTGCCTTCTGCCATCAGTACTGCATCTGGTCCATGTGCCCTGCACCAAAATACAAGCCAATGAAGTAATAGGACACTTGTAAGATAGAGAAGTGAAAGGCGTTAGTGGGCCCTAAACCACAAAATTGTCTCACTCAAATATAATGACAAAAAGGGCTATAAATTCACTGGTGAAAAAGGGGAGAATTTGCCTCTTGAATTTTTTTCCTTTACTGTTTTCTTTCATGGTGAGAAAGACAGGTAATTTGAAGTGTGTCACGCAATGGGTAACATATTGCTTGGGGAAATAAGGCAGATGGTTTATAACAATATATCTCAGTCCTAAACCACCACCTTTCTCCTCTTCTGTTCCAGTAACTAACTTCCTAGCCAACTTCCTTCTCAGGTGCCATATGAGAAACAAGTGCAGCAATTTTAGATTTATACTTCTAATTTCCCATCCATATGCACAGCACGACACTGTTTTTGCTGATTTCACCACTGAGGGTGAGTTCTGCCCAACACAGGAATTCTCAACAATGGGAAGAGTTGGAACAAATAAAAAAGTCCAACTCCAGTGTAGTTGGAACTAGACTCCAACTAGACTCCAACTAGACTCCAACTAGTCTAGTTGGAACAACTAAAAAACTTCAGAAATAGGAGTTTTTCAAGATCCAGCAATCCTTAAAAGATATACTCATCAACTGACTCATGAGAAACTCCTACACATTCTAGGGCAAAGAAAGCCCTTCTCCATTTAGAAACCCCAACAAAGCACTATAACATGTGTGCCTCACCTATCTTAACAGTGTCACATCAGTGACATTGATGTGTCACAACAGTGTCACATACATATGTGACATCCTGGTACCTTGAGGATACAGGTATCAACATTGGGGTACTGAGGAAGCTGGAGGAAGTGCTCACCAAGCCACTTTCAATCGTTATCAGCAGTCCTGGCTAACCGGGGAGGCCCCAGTTGACTGCAGGTTAGAAAATGTGACGCCCATCTACAAGAAGGGCCGGAAGGAGGATCTGGGGAACTACAGGCCTGTCAGCCTGACTTTAGTGCTGGGGAAGGTTATGGAGCAGATCATCCTGAGTGCCATCACGTGGCATGTACAGGACAATCAGGTGATCAGGCCTAGTCAGCATGAGTTTATGAAAAGCAGGTCCTGCTTGACTCACCAGATCTCCTTCCATGACAAGGTGACCTGCTTAGTGGATGAGGGAAAGGCTGTGGATGTCATTTACCTGGACTTTAGTAAAGCCTTTGACACGTTTTCCCACAGCATTCTCCTGGAGAAACTGTCTGCTCATGGCTTAGATGGGCGTACTGTTCGCTGGGTAAAAA